AGCTATTCGACATGAATGGAAAACCCGAGAGCCCACCTGGCGCGATGATTTTCTCAATGAGCAAGAGGCCAAGGAACCAGAAATTTATGAGCGAATTATTAATTTAGTCGCCGAACATGGTTGTATTTGGATGCGAGGGTGTCGTCCGCTAGCATTAGTGGTTTTATTTCAATATAAAGTCTTCGAAAGCTTCGATATTCAAACTAACGGTAAATTCGGCGAAATATGGTGCAAGGTGACGGAACACGGCCGGCAGGGCTGCCTCGATGCTCCTGCACTAGAGCGCGACGATGAGCCTCTTCTTTTAGCTTTGAAGGAGTTTTATAGAGACCAAGTGACGCAGCGCTTAAAATCTATCAACATTTCCGAGGCCAAGCGGATTGCTGTTCTTGACCTAGCGATTGATCTTGTTGCAAGGAATGGCTGGGATGGTCTTAAACATGAACAGCTACGAAAGAAACTACCGGCGAACGCTTTTACACAGCTCAAAGNCCCCCCCCCCCCCCCCCCCCCCCCCCCCCCCCCCCCCCCCCCCCCCCCGCCCCCCCCAGCCGATCAAGTCCCAATCCTATGGAAGGACCAAGCGCACCACAAGACACAATACCTGGTTTACCGCAAGACACAACTCCTCTGTCGAATGCAGCCGACACTCCTTCCAAGTTCCTCGGAGAGCAAGACGCTGTCAGATCTTGTGTAAACCGAGACCATCTATTAACAATGAAAGATCTTACTGAAGCCGGAGAGCTAATGTATACAACAGACACGCTGAAGACTATTTCTGAAAAACTTATCGCCGATTTCAACGCGACAGAGCCTAAGCAATTTTCAAAGCTAATGAAAGATTGCTTAACACCTATGATGTACTTGTTGAAACGTGAACTCAATCTACTTGATTTTACCAAATTCATCAAACAAGGTTTAATGACAAATCGTACGATTCCACGACCAAGTCAGCGTATGCTTGTTGACATTCTGCTGAAGAATTCTGAAGACCATCTTGCTCAAACAATCGTCAAGCTACTATCGAAAAGAAATGCTGTACCGTTGTTTGAGGTCCAGGGAGAAAGTCAAGAATTTGTTCCGTATATTATTCATGCGTGGGACTATGAAAAACCCACGATTCTCTCTTTTGGCATTGGTCCATGCGATGGCAAATCCTCACTGCTCAATAGTCTCTTTCTCTCCAACTTTGAACAAAGAGTATCGAGCAGTTATTTTCAACAAACTATCGATGTGGACTTTGGCTACAGTTTTATTCAATCCAGTGTACAACAATCACGACCCATTAACGTTGCTGATGTTCACGGATCAATGTCACTTGAATTACTCGACAAAGTTAGCCGTCTTTTCGATGGTTTCATTATTCATGTCAATACAAAATTCTTGCTTTGTAATTTGCCTCTCGTCAAACAGTTTCTTGACCGTCTTCCCGACTATGCCTACCGCTGCCTTCTTGTACGCGACTCAAGTTTTGACGAAGATAATACGGTTCTTCAACAGCTTCGCAGCAACAACAAAGGCATGCTTCGTTTACCTCAGATTGCCCATAAAACTAATGTTGAAAGTCAATATTTTCTAAACAAACTCCGCGACATTATATATCATAAAGACAATTTCTCACCACGAAAGCTATCCAAAAATACTCTCGAAGCTGAATTTCACAAACTTCTCCCGCCCGAGCGTCTCAGAAGATTCGATGATGAAAAAGCATTGATTTGTTCCATCGAAGCAACATTAATCAATGGTGAAAAGAAACACTTCCCCCTATACAATATCTTTGTTGATGTGTGCCAAATGAGCGATAAATTATCGCACATCGATTTCTACGGTTCAAGAGACAGTGAAGACATTTTTAACACTCAAAATGCTCTGTATAAGTTGGAAGTGAAACTGAGACCTGATAGTGGAAATCAGAAGGATTGTGGAGAAGCTTTTAGAATTTTCTTCAGTCTTCTTCAAAATACTTCCAAATTCAATATTTTAAGTATTATTGCGTCAGCTCTGAAGAAAAAGATCGACAGAACACTGAAAGCTGACCAGCTAGCAATCGATCTACCCTATGAAAAGCGACTCTCTATGGAAATTCACTGGCGAAACGCGCTCGTTTGCTATGATCATATACCTTGTGATGCACAAAAGCAAGAGCTTGTTCAACATTACCGAGACATGATTGCCAGTGGTCAACCTTTTGAAATCATAGATGGTGATAACTTTTATTACCAATCGAGCTTTCTCGAAAAAGTGATGGTCGACATGAAATTCTCCAAAGTTTTCGTTATCAGCATCATCGGTCCACAAAACAGCGGCAAAAGTACTTTACTCAATTACATGTTTGGAACTCTTTTCGATGTTCGAGATGGTCGCTGTACACGTGGTAAATGATGCTTTCGACAATTTTTTACAAAAGTTCTTTAAGTACCGACAGGAAAAATTTCTCCGGAAAAGCGTGTTTTAAAACTGCGTTCTCCCAATCACTGTGAGGCTAGCACAATGTGAATCTACCCCAATGGATTGAATCGAGTCTACAATCCTCACTATTGCAAATTACAGGAACGGGATCGAGTGAGGTTGCTGGACAACGAGTACATGAGTACCACTCTCACATGCCACCTGACAAGTTCAAAAATGAAAAATTCTGACATCATCTCATTCTGAGATGGTAGCATTATGGTCAAGAGGGAAAAAGAAGATCCCAGTGGATCCCGTAGGATCCACCGGGATCTGATTTTCCCCTCTTGTGATTATCGTGATGTTTTCTATGAGTTGCAAAATTTGTCTTCTCGAAAACTTCCTTACGTGTCTCTCAAGAGTTATACAAGACCCCAAAAGATGGATACACCTGCCATCAGAAGTAATCTCGGTATTCAGTCCACTGACTAATGAATTTTTGATGGTAGAATGAGTGGGTGTATGTGAGTGGAATCATTCCTATTCGTCCACATCCAACTCAATACAGTAGAATAATGCATTTTCACTTTTTCCTTTTGAAGGAGTATATGCATCAATACTCAAGTCGAATCGGCCTGATTTCAACTATACCATGTTGCTTGACACAGAAGGCTTACTTGGGAAGGAGAGGGGCAATAAAGAATACGATCGTCGTTTGATACTTTTCTGTCTGGCTGTGTCGCATCTTGTTATTGTCAATGTTACTGGAGACGCACACGATCCTTTAGTCGACATGCTTATTCTCTGTGCGGATTCACGACAAAAGCTTGGAGTAACAACAGTCCATCGCCCACCTGTTCATATTGTTCTAAATCAGAGAACGAATCTTGATGTTAATACGAACAATGCTTTTATCGACACAATCATGCTAGAATTGAAAAAGAAAAAGCTGGACCAACAATTTGTTTGACAAGCTCAGTGTCCACTTTTTGAGGACGAGCGCCTGCTTCTTCTAAAATCACTTTTTTCTTTATGCTTTTAAGAAGTTCATCCAAACTCTTTCTAACGGGC